GAATGGACTTTCTAGGGGTTAAGATTAAAGTTCAAATGCAGTATGATTTTAAAAGGATGTTATAGACTCCTAATGTATTATCAATGAGAGAGGAATTAACTGAAAAAGACGATAGTTCAAAGGTTTAAAATATATCAATACTGAAAGTCATATTAGAAGTATCCTGAATGAGACCTTCAATACCTTAAAGCCTAACTTAAAAACTAAAAACCTCTGCTTCAGTACCTTAATTGCTGGAAAAGCTTAAAAGAAACACCTACGGGGTGATTTAGATTGAAGAAAAAAAGGTACAGAAGACACATGAACTGATTAATGATCTCTTCATTACAATATTGCAAAATAAATAATGAACGGAAATGAGTGCTGATGCATTAACCTGGTCTTAAGACATGGGTATATTGTCATTATTGTGTGTTGCTTTGCTTGAATTGATTTGAGTGTGTGTTCTTACATAGAAATACCTTTTGGACATAAAAAAAATTACCCCTTTTTTTTTTACTAGATTTGGATGGAGCAGAAGGACTGATAAGAAGTTATAACTCCCAGAGGCCTCACAGAAATATGAGGCCCCAACCAGGAAAGAGACAGTTTGAAACAAAGTCTCCTACAAGGCATCCACACTCCAAATGCAAAACACTCAGAGCATGCTGCCAACACCAGGGGCTGGATGGAGAAAGATGGAGTCTCTAATGTTATGCTTGCATTTAAAGACAAATAATCCTGTTTTTTATAACCTCATAAAGAGGTAGTAACACTGAAATGTTGATGTTGGTTTAAATGGAGGGGAATAATACCTTTCTTCTGACAGACAAAATTGAGCTTTTCTGCCTGCGTTGAACAATCGATTAGCTGACTCAGCAGATGACGTCACATCACCAAGCCCAAAGTCAACACAGTCCATCCAATATCCAGCATTTTTTTAGTTCATGACGTCTGAACTGATAAAAGTCTCCTGCTGCGTCACAAAGATGAGCGCAGCTTTACGACAACTGGGAGCTCAGAGATGGTTATTCAACACAAAAACGTCTCAGAAACCTTAATGACGTTTTGCTCACACAAGCCTGAGCACATGTCCAGCTTCTTCTGAGAAGTGTGCTCACTGACAGGAGAAAGCACAATAAAAACAAGTGAAGACAGAACTTGCATGAGAATTGAATTTCTATGAAACATTCAAGAGAACTGCCCTGATGCATGCTCAATAATCCAGGTACATAAATCTAACTAGGCTGAGTCAGTTCCTCTGGATGGATTCAGCTTTGTTGAAACGTTTTGTCTTTTATCCAAAAGACTTCTTCAGTCTGAGGAGCTGCAACAAACTCAGTCTTATAAACAACAACTTCTCATAGTGGATCAACCAGTTTGCTGGTGACATCCAGAACTAGAGGTTCACATGTAAAAAGAGGAACATCAGCCTAACAATCGATTGTTAGCACCCTCGATGGTCACTTGCTATTCACAGAGGGTTGAGTGATACTAGCATTATAAGAGGGGAACAGTTGAACACGGAGGCCTCACTCCACCCGTTTAACAATGGACGGGTTCTCTTCACAAAAATGGCTTCCTTTACTCCTCTCTCAAACCATTGATCCGATCTATCAAGGATGTGAACATCTTCACCCCTGAAAGAGTGACTGCTGGCCTGGAGAGGAGTGTAGACCGCAGAGTCCAGGCCTGATGATGTTGCTCTTCTGTGATGGGCTGGGTTGTGAAGAGAACCCATCCATCGTTAAACAGAGACGATGGCCTCCGTGTTCAACAGTCACCCTTTTACAGTGCTGTTAATATAACTATCACTCTGCTCTCTGTGAGCAAACGCACCTTTAACACACCGCTGAATCAAGGAACCTGATGAGCAATTGCATAAACAAATAAAGGAACACATGAACCAGAAATATGAGCACAGTGTTCCAGAACAGAATATTCTGTTTCTGTAGGGACTTTTTAAAATTCTGTTTCTGTTTAATAGTTTCAAAAACTTTACTACGAATCAACAACACACCTTGGTACACAGTTGTTAATTAACCCGTGTTAAACTTGTATGCTGAAAAATGCATGATTAAAAGCTTCTTAGATAGATACTTTGCCAGAAAGATGTCAGAAGACACCTTTAGGGTTTCAAAAAAATCCAGTTATAAATTTGTTCCACAGTATGTTTAGTCAAAAATGTCTCTTGAACTATTTGAACATATTGATACACTTTCAAGATTAAGCATTTGTAAAAAACAAACAAACAAACAAAAAAAGGTTTTTTAGAATTTTATTATTTTTATCATTGGTTTTTCTTAATCGAAGACCACGAGGAGGGAAACATGTCAGGAAACAGAGGAAGGAAAGGAAAGACAAGAATGGTGGGAGAAGAAGGGTGGCAACTCTAAATGTGGGAGGGGACAACGACAGGCAAAGGTAGAGAGCTGGCTGACATGATGCAGAGAAGGAAGGTAGATGTTTTATGTGTCCAAGAGACCAAGTGGAAGGGCAGCAAGGCTCGTAGCATTGGAGCAGGGTTCAAACTGTTTTGCCATGGTGTGTATAGAAAGAGAAATGGAGTAGGGGTGGTCCTGAAGGAGGAGTTGGCAAAGAATGTACTAGAAGTGAAAAGAGTGTCAGATAGGGTGATGTGTCTGAAGGTAGAAGTAGGAGGTCTGATGCCAAACGTTTCCAGTGGGTATGTTGGATGTGATGTGGAGTAGAAAGATAAATTTATGAAGAATATGGATGAAGTGATAGAGAGGATTCCCAGGGAGGAGAGAGTGGTGATCAGAGCAGACCTGAACTGAATGGACATGTTGGTGAAAGAAACAGAGGGGATGAGGAAGTGATGGGTGGGTTTCGTGTCAAGGAAAGAAATCAGGAAGGACAGATGGTGGTGGATTATGCCAATGGAATTGAAATGGCTGTAGTCAACACCTATTTCCACAAGAAAGAAAAACATAAGCGTGACCTATAAGAGTGGAGGAAGGAATATGCAGGTCGACTGCATTCTGTGTAGAAGAAGAAACCTGAGGGAGATTGGGGACTGTAAGGTTGTGGCAGGGGAGAGAATGGCCAAACAGCATTGAATGGTTGTATGTAGAATGACTGTTGTTGTGAAGAAGAGAAAAATAATAAAATCAGAGAAGACCAAATGGAGGAAGCTGAGGAAGGAAGAATGTTGTGAGGGGTTCAGAGAGGAGCTGTTAAAGACACTGGGTGGTAAGAAAGAGCTTCCAAACGACTGGACTACTACAGCAACAGTAATTAGAGAGACAGGTAGGAAGGTACTAGGTGTGTCACTTGGACAGAGAAAAGAAAACTTGGTGGTGGAGTAGTGAAGCGCAGGAAGTTATTCAAAAAAAGACATTAGCCAAGAAGAAATATGACAGTGAGAGGACTGAAGAGAGGAGACCGGAATATAAGGAGGTGCAACATAGAGCAGAGGGAGGTAGCTAAGCCAAAGTACAAGGTGGATGAGTTGTATGGGAGGCTGGACACTGAAGAGGGCAAGAAGGACTTGTACTGATTGGCGAAACAGAGGGATCAGGCTGGAAAGAATGTGCAGTAGGTTAGGCTTGTTAAAGATAGGAATGAATGATAATGTTCTAACAAGTGAGGAGACTGTGATGGGAAGATGGAAAGTGAAGGATTCAAGTACTTGGGGTTCACTGTCCAGGCAAATGGGCAATGTGGTAAAGAGGTGAAAAAAAGAGTCCAGGAAGGATGAAGTGGATGGAGAAAAGTTTCAGGAGTGAATTGCGACAAAAGGGTGACAGCAAAGGTCAAAGGAAAAGTTTACAAGACAGTGGTGAGACCAGCTATATTGTATGGTCTGGAGACAGTGGCATTGACAAAAAGACAGGAGAAAGAACTGGAAGTGGCAGAAATGAAGATGTTGATGTTCTCCTTAGAAGTGACAAGGCTGGATAAGATTAGGAATTAGATCAGAGGTACAGCACAGGTTGAAAAACTGGGAGATAAAGTTAAAGAGGCCAGACTGAGATGGTTTGGACATGTCCAGAGGAGGGACAGTGGTTTGGGTATGTCCAAAGGAGGGACAGTGGGTATATTGGTAGAAAGATGTTAGAAATGCAGCTGCCAGAGAAAATACAAAGAGGAGATATATGGATGAAGTGAGAGAAGACATGGAGGTAGGTGGAGTGAGGACAGAGGATGCAGAGGAAGATGACTCGCTGTGGCAGAAAAGCTGAAAGAAGAAGATCATTGTTTTTTTCTTAAAATTTAAGTTCTCTCTTTTAAAAATCATTTATCCATAGTTTGTAGTTTTGCCAGCACAAACTGACCTCACTAACCTGGCACAAAAGATTTAAGATACATTTTTTTGGTCCAGAATGTTTAGTGTTTTAATTAGTTCTGACTTTATTGTCACTTGCATAAGAATTCTTTTTTATTATTATTTTTATTACTTTAGGTTTATGTTAGTTGAAGGCATCAAGAGCTGGACGGTGATAATTTAAGGGCCATCTCTAACCCCCAGAAAACATTTTGCCCATAAAATATAAATTTACCACAAACTGCCACAGGAAAAAAAAAGTGTTATTAAAGCCAAAACTCCTTATTTTTGTTCATGTAAAAAAAATAAATAAAAAGAAGATGTACAGTATTCACCTTGCTGTGGTGACTGGGACAGAAGGTTCATCCTGCCTGGATAGTCTTCATGTACCCAAAACAAAGTCAAGTTTACCGTATACACACACACAAGCACACTTTCTGGAATTACTGACATGTTGACACCTGAGACATAAAACACGCGGCAGACAACTATTTTCTAGCATTAACTTGACTTTCTGAGCTTCAGCAACAAAAAAACAATCAAAACAGCTGCTCTTTTTTCTTTGTTAGCAACTAAACGTGTCATTAAACAACCACCTGAATAAATGAGGCCTGTGTGCACAATCACACTGTCACATCGGATATATGTTTTTAGGCTTTCACGTATGAACTCGTCAGCACTGTATCTGAAAAGCAAACTGTGAATGAACATGAATTTGTGCTTCTGTACTCACTGGGATGTAGAATGTGTTCATTTTGGGGTCTTCATTGGCCGTGAAGAGCATACCTGTTTATGAGATATGCAGGCAGAAACAGCATGAAGACAGATGCAACATATACTCCGGACATAAACTATTTTTTTCCTACATGACAGAGCGGAATCATAGTTTTGTTAAAATGAGGAAACTAGTTACAATTATAATGTAAAACAGTAAACAATACAACAAAATGGTGCCACCTAGAGGGGAAAATGCTAAAAGAAATTAAATTAAGGCTGCATCTACTGTTAAATATCAATCAAAATGTCTAAAGAAAGTGTTTTCACCTGAATTAGGATACATGCAAACATCATTGATGTCAGTCTGAGGCTGTATAGAGGAGAACAGCTTCCCCTGTAATAAAAGACAAAACAAACAACAATATTTCACCTAACTTCTTCAGTTAAAGCATTATCATAAAAATGTACTGAAGCCATGGGGTGACTGTCAAAAACTGTCTCTAAACTGAATCTTTTTTTATTTATTTAGAAACTAAATATATTCTGAGTATAGAACTACATAAAATGGATAATCTGTATATAGTATATTTATATTGTAGTTTTATAGCACTTTTTCCAACATAAATGTAAACAAAAGTTATTTAACTAAGCAAAGTGAACATAAACATAAATAGGTATGACACAAAAAACTTAGATAAGATATCCTTGAAGAAATAAACAAACCTGGCAAAAATAATTTGTTAATGACTTTAAAAAGAAAAGGCTGTTACTGACGGTGTCTTTGTTCCAGATTTTTATTATCTTGGAGTCAGCAGACAAGATGAGGTCCATCTGTTGGTGGAAGTTGAGAGATTTGATTGGCAGGTTGTAAAAGTGGTCTTTGACCAGCAGTGGTTGGCTGGAGCGCAGATCATACAGGAGCACCTGTGAGAGAAACAAACAGCAGATTTACAGCTTCTGAAACCTGCCGGATGCATTCATATTAGGACAAATACAAAAAAAAATTGAAATAAGAATGTGTTGGAAATTTTTTGTGTTCTTTATATCACAAAAAGCAGCAAACATACTAAAAAAAAACGTTAATGTAATATTGGCTTAGCTGAGTAATTATTAAAGAAGATATGTAATTTTGTGAAATCATAGCTCTATGAACAGTTTTGGCCCAATAGAGTTATAGACACATAAAACTGCACGTCACAAATACTTTAGCAAAACACAAATCTCAAACTTTAAAGTTTGGCTCACCTGTCCTGTACTTGTGCCGACTGCCATGGAGAGGGAACTGTTAAACTTCAGCGCACTGATGGAAGGTAAACCCTGAACTCTGTCAGCAAACACACAGAATGCCATCACATCAATCTCCACAACTTAGAAAAATAAATAAAATAAATAATAATAATAATAATAAACAACATAACTGCAGCTCTTTATGACCTCAACAAATATCTCGAACTTAAATAAAACAATATTCCTGTTCTAGGTCATATTCACACAGTCTGCTGTCTGTTTTTGGAGAAAAGTACCACGTGGTTACAAATGCAATGACAAGCTGAGATCAGCCAAAATGATGTAACAATAAAATGTAAAATCAGCTTGGTGCTTACTCTGTTCCTTGAGTCACGCTGCTCAGAGCACAGTCCAGGATGCCCACTCTGTTCCGGACACGAGGGTCCCAGCATTCAACCCTTCCCTGATGAACAGATAGAAAAGAATATCAGACAATCAGAAAAATGCAACTTTAAGGGTTTGCAACAAACCTGGAACACAGAAAACATTTTCTTCACGTCACTATTTATTTAATGGTAGTGCAAAAAAAAAAAAAAAAAAAGAACTTTGCACAGATTAATGCATGATCGGAAACTAAGCAGCTGTAGGGACAGCACAAAAACTTTTGGGTCTTCATTTAGATCCTAGAAGCTGCTCATTACTCTTTAAAACTAAAGATTTAGAGTTGGACCGTGTTTATTTCTGGTTTTCAAAAAAACGTGTCTGTATTGGGCGCAGGGCAACTTGTCATGAAGCACCAGCAGAAAAACAAAAAACAAGCTGTATTAGGTCAAAATACATAATCGTCAAGAACCTTGTTCATGCACTTTTAGTAGGAGCTGCACTGCTGCACAGACAGATCATGATATTAACTAACTTCAACCATAAAGAAAAAAAATATATTTTTATGATATGAATTTAAAAAAAGTCACATTTCTGTGTTTAACCATAACACAAGCACACTAAAAGTCAGGTCTTCGGAAAACAGGTGTATTTCTCACAGAGTAAACAGACCAACAGCTGAATTACATTACATTGCATGCTTTTTTGCTGGAAAGTGATTAAAAAGTAGAAGATCAGCCTTTTGGAAAACTAAAACAAAATTAACCCAACATTGCTTTTACTTAATTCTGAAAACAAGGTGGATCAAACAAAGCTAGAAAAGGCTTGTGCACAAAAAAAAAAACAGCAAGTGGTGCTGGATTTTACACAAATATTAGTAATGGCTTTTACCTCAGAGGTTCCAGTAGCAAACAAGTGATGAATAGGGTTGATGTCACATGCATTGCTCTCCCTAGTTGACAAGTAGAAACAAGAGGCATCTTTAATTTGAGCGGTCAACTGATATTACCATTTTTAACAACTCTTAGAAGGTTAAAAAAATGTAAAATTAAAAACATCTGACTACTCACGCAGCATTTGTCTGAAGGGAGTTCAGGAAGCGACCTTGTTCAAGGTTCAGTCTGTACACCTCTGAACTAAGAGTGAACACAAATTTTATTAATCTGTTGCTAAATAACAAAACACATCAGAACTACATTTATCTGAACATTTAACATTCTATCATATTCCCACCTCGCCCCCACAAAGTAGAGGTCACAGGATGGGTAGTGGTATGAAAAGTCCCGTCCGAACTTTGGAATACGAGTCTTGTAGTAGTGTCCACCTTGAGAGTGGAACTCCACATAGCGATCGCAGTGCAAAAACACTATCTGAAATAAAATACAGACAAATATCACATCTAAATGTTTTTGGTTGGGACACATGCAACTGCATAATTAATCTTAAGGTCTTTTAGCAAATTCAAAACAGTCTCTTTTTGTACATTCTTAAAATGAAAAACAACAATTTTTTACACTAATCCATTCCGTCGTAAGTCTTTTGCAATCTCCACAATCATGCAAAGTAGAAAATACCAGAAAACAACATAAACACCTTCCGATTAACGTATTAAAATGGAACTAGAAAATGTGTAACTTTATGATGAAGATGTGAAAGGTCACAGATGTTTTACACTTATTAAAGTTAAATGCTATAACTCATATTACCATGTGTGTGTTAAAGAGTTGTTTTTGTCTGGATCAGAGTGCTGCATAAGCATGGCGCCTTTCATCCAAATAAGCAAGGAGGCTGCAAAAATCTTCTGATCTTGCCTTTGTCTGATAAACATAAAGACACTTCCTCATGCTCTCTTTGAGCAGACTTGAGAAGGAACACCATGTCAGCATTTTGAGGCCTGTATTTCAACTCTGCTTCATCTTGCAATATTAAACCTGGGATTAAGAAAATTATCTACCTCTCCTGTGTGGCATATTTATTTAATGAGCTTTTGAAAGGATACTATAAAATTATCCTAACAATTTATTCGTTTCAATTTTTTGTGCATTTTCAGCCTCTGGATGGCAGCAAGACTTGCCAAAAAGTAATCAAACTGAATACATGCATGCATTACCCGTAATCTCTTGTGAATCAATAGGAGAAAAATAAAATATCTTACCTTAGAGTAGTCATCTGACAGGATTTCAAAGGTCACAACTTTAAGAAGAAGAAATATTTTTTTGTAAAATTTAGCCTAAAAAAATGTGGCAGAAAAATAAAAAAGGGCGAGTTTACCAACTTACCATCTGAATCCATGCAACGTTCAAATTTCAGGGACAGCTGGTAGGTATCATAACAGCGAACTGTAGGTTTGTAAGTGCCTGAAATAAAACAAACACAAAAAAATAGACTTCAACTTTTCTGAGGCAACACACACAAGAAAAGTAAAAGCAACCATTGGTTTTCTATAACTTCACTGTGACTTACCTGTTGCCAGAATGAATTGTCCATCCCGGGATACTTTGATGGTCGTGCATACTGTGGGCATCTCAAAGTCCTGGATGAGCTCAATCCGACGCTGAACGTCTGGAAAAACAAAAGAAATTAAATGTAAAACAACCCCAGACATTTAGGAGAAAAATTACCCATTCTTTGGTAATGAAGCTGTCAACTCACCGACATCTCTTTTTTGTAATTGTCTTTTCTTCCGATCAGACAACCACTGCAGTAACAAACAAAAGATGATAATCAGAAGTAACTTTTAAACACTTATTTACCTGAACCTCATTCCTCAAGCAGCTTTTACTGTGTTCTGACACTCATGTAAACATAAGGGAAATGCTAAAGTTAGCTGAAGTTTGTAGATTTATTTATTCTTCTTTTTTTTTTTAACTGTTTAGGCTAAACGTTGTCAAACAACCCTCCACGTTTTAACTTTCAGTGAGTACACCGAGTATGAGTGTTGGGCAACAGATTTCTCCCTGTTAGCTACGACTACCTGAGTTATCAAAGATAAAGCTACGTAATAACCTTAAAACTTAGAGGACATCAAAGAACACTTACATCAGGAAGAGACTTTCCGTAGCTTAAATTATAAATTTTCACATCGTTCACATTGGACACCTGCATTTTAATCTACAAACAACGAGCCGGCACTTCATACACGTTGTGGAAAAGAACCAAACACAGGAAGCTGACAGGGGGTTTGGAGAAATAGGTCCGACTAGAAACTACATCGACAACAGCTATCTCAATTGTTCCGGTCTTACTTGCACAAAACAGGAAAAGTGTATGTTTTATGAACCTCATAAAAATACGCATTTTATTTTATTTATTTATTTTTATTTATTTTATTTTGATGTGAGTGTTATTTTATTGTTGAACTTGTGGGTCACAGGCAGCAAGAATAAATTATTTTATTGTTCTCAACGTGGTATTGTCTTTATTTAAAACTAAATGAAGAAGCATCAGGGTTAAAAAATAAATAAATAAGCAGGGCACTATTCTTAATAATAGGTAATGCCCCCCTTCAATTAGAGAGACTAACTACTTAAAAGCTTCCAAAACCTTTCACACAATCATCCTGCCACCCAGTGCTCGACAAAGTAACTGCAACACAAATGTCAAGCTGGGGAATATTTAGCCAGCATTTCAGCATTTTTCTAGTAGTCAATGGTCCATACTGGTTTTACATTGTTATATTTGTTTTAAATTTATGTAGTATTGATTTTGGCCAGGGCCAATTCACTTGGTCAATTTAACATTAATCATCATTTGTTAGCAGAATTTCATCCATCCATCCATCCATCCATCCATCCATCCATCCATCCATCCATCCATCCATCCATCCATCCATCCATCCATCCATCCATCCATTATCTTTACCCACATCTTCATTTTCAGGTCGCGGGGTTCACTGGTGCCAATATCCAGCAGTCACTGTGGGGGACACCCTGGACAGATTTCCAGTCCATCACTTGTCTCAAAGAGACAAACGAGACAAGTAATCATTCACTCACACCTATAGGGACGATTTAGAGTTACCAATCAGCCTACCATGCATGTTTTTGGTCTGTGGCAGAAAACCGGAGTACCCTAAAAAAAAAACATACATGCACGGAGAGAACGTGAAACTCCACCCAAAAAGGCCCCCGACCGAGATTTGATCTGATGACCTTTTCATTGAGAGGCAGCATCTCTACCAACTGATCCATCGTGCTGCCAGCAAAATTTCGGGTATTTGTTTTTTTTTTTTTTTTTCTTTAGAAAACTTTTAAAACAGGTCCCACTCCAGCAAAATCAAGTTTGTGCCGCTAGGTAACTTGCAGTTTGATCGCATTTGACTGAATAGCTCAAAGAATTAAACGTAAAAATGTGTAAAGAGCCATCCACAACCACCTTTTTGATATAATACAAAATATAGACAAGTGTTAATTAAACTTTTTCCATTAGATAAAAATAATTCACATTTATGAAGTAAGAACAAAATGCCAAATTCTGTTCTGATGTTTATCATTTTATATTGATCACCAACCTTTTCTGCGTTTACTCAGATCAGCTGAGTGAAAAGGGCTTCCTGTGACAGATTGTAAAACAGCAGAGTGTCAGACGGTGTAAAGTAGAGCTGTTGCTCAGACAGCAGCCCGTCTCAGGTGGAGCTGCTGGTCAGACCGCTCACTGAGGCAATGTCACAGGATGATCATGAAGATAACTTGAAGGTAAGACCCGACTTTGAACATCTAATTGTATACAGAAATTGTGGAAAGGCTGAACTACTGTCTTAATTTAAAGTCAGTTCAAGTGTTTTTTACCATAACAGAGCTAAAGTTACTTGTTTTTGTTGCTTCGTGTGGTAGGATTTTGGGGACCAAATCCTGCTCTCGTGAGAAGGATTTATGATTGAAGGTCTCAATGTGAAACACAAGGAGTCATGACGGATTTTTGGTTGATTTCTGTCCCACTGGACAAGACCAGTCTAACCAGTGTGGAAAAACTCAAACGGACCATCAACAAAACCCAAATGGCCTCATGCTGGAAGTTCTCCATCCCAGACCTCAAGGTGAGGGAGTGTGACGCTAGTGAAGAGCCTTGTAGTGCAAATTAAATTTCACTGAATGTGAGATAAGGGGACATTTCTGTTCTTAAGGAAGGCATAAGTACATGTTCTTTGTTTGCTCTATACAGTAGAGTGTATGTGAGGAGGGTGGTGGTGTTTGGTGTCCTTCTCTGGTGAAGGGATCAAGGCTCAGGTTGCTTTCTACAGTTTGAGGCAAAATTTCCATCCGACCCGTTTCACTCAGCATGATCAATGTCCAACCTGCCTGCCAGTATCTGCTGTTTTACCATTGCTCTGTACAAAACTGCTAAAGCTCAAAAGCTTGCACTGCTCAAATACTTTAATATTAGTAAAACTATCTATGTTCCCTGCAACGTTTATTAAAAGAGATCCAGGCCGAAATGTTACAGAAGCAGTCCAAACCAAAGGCATGAAAATAGTTTTAAATTGTAGCTTCAAATGCACAAATGTACATTGTTTTAAATTTGCACTGACTATTACACATCGAAGGAGCAAACTACTGACTGAGACCCCATCAGTTGCACATAAACACCAGATGAATTAAAGACTGAACAGAAACAAACACAGGAACACCCCCCCCCCCCACACACACACACACACACCACCACCACCACACACACACAAACAAAAACTTAATTTATTAAGTCAAAAGTCAAATACCTGATAGTAGCATTTTAGCAATTTATTTCTATAGTTTTACTGAATTAAATCAAAACGTATCTTAAGTTGTAACTATAAGGGATTTAAAAATATTAGTCAAAGTGCCTTTGGGCAGCTCTCACAAAATTATATCATTAATTAACTTTACATCTGATGGTCAATTAAAAAAATAAAACGTCAATAAAAATTATTGGTAACGGATCTAATTCCACTTCATGGAGTTGTTTTAGATTTTATTCCTTTTTTTTTTCCCTTTTATTGTGCTATTTTAACTTGTATACACTTTGATGGTTTTTATTTATGTCTTTTGTGGTATTTTTTTTTTATTTTAGACATGACAGAAAAAAGCCCTTGTGTTTAAATCTGGCACATTTGCATAAAGACTTGAAGAAATTATATTCATTATCAAGTCCTTTCCTTTATTTGAACAGCATCTAAATTATACTGACATGATAAATCTTAATTGCCTTAAATATCAACCATGAATATAAATAATAACTTTTGTGTTTCTGCTGAGGCTGCAGGTGGGAATCCTGGACAGTCTGCTCAGAGTGTCCGACGATTTATCAAAACTCGACGCGCTGACTGAAAGGTAACAAAAGTGTTGAATCAAAACGTGGAGAAGCGAGTTGCATTAATGCAAATTACTCATATTTAGCTTAAAGAGCAGCTTTATCCTTCGTTAAAACCAATAACTCTGAGCTTGCAGTCTGTGTTATGATTAATTGATGCTCAGGAGCAGCTGGAGTTTATCTTTCCTTCCTGGTTTTAAATTCATTGTTGGTCTATTTGAGCTGAAACAGCATAAGAGGCTTCTTTTCACAGTTCCAGGAAAAGGATTGAAGTCACTGTGGAGATTAAATTTAATATTAAAATTGTCCAATTTGCCTTATCATGTCTTTTTTTCATTATATTGTCTTATAACAACATCACAGTTGGGTAAAATTGATTTTTATGAGAGAAAATGTACAAAAAAAACCCATATGTGCAGTAATAATGTTTTTCCCATGTCACCTGGTTAGCCTGATTAAAAAAACCTGCCAGTGTTTGAAGGAAGTGATGGAGCCATCCAGTGACAAAGTGCGGGAAAACGTTTTAGCCAACGGAGGTGAATCACAAACACACACAATAAGCTGCGTTTGTTGATTACGGTGTAGAAAAACTTGATCAGCTGGTAAACAGAAGCCTCAGTTGAGCTCCAAATGACAACACCGATGATTTCAGTGCACAGAGGACAAACCAGACTAACGTGATCAGTCTCCTCTTCCAGACCAAAGGACGAATCAGAATGCTGCCCTGTCTCCCCTGAAAGCTTACCTCACATCACAGAAGGGTAATATCTCTGCTCTTTTAACTGGACTGCAGCATATTATGCTATGACATGTGCAAATTAAAGTTTTTACTGATAAATTTCTGTGTGTATTTTTTCCTCAGTGGACCTTATTAACTATATGACCAAGTTTCAGTGGGACAAAGCCAAGTATCCCACAGCTCTGCCTCTCTCCACCCTGACAGACATCATCAACAAGGTAATGAAAGTTGTGAAAGATCTTATTAAAGAGGCTGTGGCAATAATTATTTTCTTAAAAATATTACTTGTGTTGTATTTTGCCCTGAAAATAACAGTAATAATCCAATAAAAGCTTGCGACACTTACAGATCCGATTGATCTCACTTATGATTGTGGCTGCAGTGTGAAAGTGAGACTGTTGGATCAATAAATGCAAAGACATGTATAGTTCAAAACTTACGCTGACTGTCACATGGCTTAAAAAAGACCAAAACACAACTATGTGCAAAATAATGTACAATATTGTAAGCAGAGTTGCAAAAAATTATCGTCTTATTAAGACCTAAATGATTTAGTATTGTTGAAAGCAAACTGGGATACAATGTAATATAACTTTATTTATAAAGCACTTTAAAAACAACACCGTCGACCAAAGTGCTGTACACTGATAACACATAAAAGCAAGCATGAAAACTATAAAATCAATTGAAACCGTAAAAATAATGAACTGTTAAAATCATAAAAACAGCAAACAATAAAAATACATTTATAAAAAAACAGTAAAACCAACATTTCAAGCTGAGTTAAAGGCCAACGAGATAAGATGTGTTTGTAAAAACAGGAAGTGACGTGAAAAGGCAGCTTATTCCACTGTTCAGTGGCAGCGAATGAGAACGCTCGGTCACCTCTCAGCCTCCTGTTGGACTTTGGAAAGACCAACAGCAGCTGATCAGCTGATCTGAGAGAGAGTGAGGGAACGTACAGCTGGAGCAGGTCGGACAGATACTGTGGGGTGACACCATGAAGGCATTTGAAAACAAAAAGAAGAACTTTAAATTAATCTGGAAACAAACAGTTGTGTCACATCCCGTTCGGAAACGAACAAGATGTGTGTTTTATTGACCAAAAAAAACAAACCTAAGTTTGTGCTCAATAATCCAGGTACAAATCAACAATGTTCAGTCAGGTCATGTGGATGGTTTCTTTTTTGTTTGTTTGTTTGCTGAGACATTTTGTCCTCCATCCGAAGAACTTCTTCAGTCCGAGGAGCCACAAACAACCTAGAGTCCCATAAATAATGGATTATTGGAAAAATAAATACCACACTCTCATAGTAGGGAAAAAAAAAAACAGTTTGCTGGTGATAAGATGGTGTCTGGGGCCTGCCCTCTCCCCTGTCAACTCTTATGAGGCTTTTGGTGTTTTGAACCATTTTGGCATGACTGCCTCAGAGGAGTTGACAGTGGAGAGGGCGGGCCACAGACACCATCCTATAATCAAAACATCAGGACGTAGTCTGAAGTCATTGATGTCTCTATGTCTCATGTAAAAAAGTGCTGTTAAATCATCCTTACTAAGCAAACAAGCTTAGATTGACCCAACTCAGAAACTTTAGAAATGCAACTTGATGTGAAGTGATCCTGAGGTATGTAAAGTTGTGAACATCCTCAAATGTTTGTTGGCGTTTTGCTATAACGTAAAGGAGTACAACACGTTGTTTAATGTCAGAATCCTGTTTTGGCACAGGAATCTTTAAAAGCTCTTAAGTGACAGCAACGCCACCTGTAATGATAAATATGTACGTAACAATTCCAAGATGCACGGGCAAGTTGCTTCCATAAATCCAACAATGTTCAGTCAGGTCATCTGGATTATTGAGCATGCATGAGGATATGTCATCTGGACGGTTACTTTTTTTTTTTTGAGATACGCTTCGCCTTTCATCCGAAGGGCTTCATCAGTCCAAGGAGTCACAAACAAACTGTTTCCCCCACTAAGCTAAGATTGCTTCCATAAAGTTATACCTGATGCTTCATCTTCTGCAGGAAGTTATACAGGTGGAGACAGAATTAAAAACTCGATCGACAGCGTACAGCAGCGTAAAAGCCAACTTGGAAAGCCTTGAACACAACCAAAAGTGAGTGATATGGGTTAGATCATATAACTAACTGGATCTGCAGGAAATTTATTGAGTTCCTCTGCTTCTAGTGGGAATTTGCTGACTCGCAGTCTGAACGGTGTTATGAAGAAAGAAGACCTGGTGGTCTCAGAGTATCTAACAACTCTGCTGGTAGTGGTGAGCAGGTTGGTCACATAACATGTTTAATTAGCCATTGTGATCCCATATGCATATAAACATGTTTATGCACATGTCATTGGTCCTAGAGAGAGTTTCCCGCTGTGGGAGAGAAGTTATGAATCCTTTTCGGAGTTTGTAGTCCCACGATCAAGCAGGTGAGTTGTGTTTTTGCACCATGAGCTAAGAAAACCTTTGTTGCGCTTGATTCTAGTGCAAGCGTGCCAGCAACGCTCTACAGGTCTGTTTCCAGCCTCTGAAAGGTTAAGCTGAGCAGCACAGGTGTTCTGTTACCTGCAGAAAGTAAAAGCCTGTGTGTCTAATGGTAGTTTAGATTTTAATCAAACCAAAATGTCCATCCAGGTGGAAACATTGAGTTTTTCTGAAAATTTTCTTCTGTTAACTTCACAAGTTGCTGCTTTCGGTGCCATTTTGCTCTTCTGTCTTCACTCTGTGACTTTCAGGAAGCTGTTTGAGGACAGAGAGGGGGCTATCTTCTCGGTGACACTCTTCAAACGAGCTGTCTGTGATTTCAAAGCCAAAGCTCAGCAGAGCAAGTAAGCAGCAGGGATTGATAGAAAACACCCGGTGGAGTCTAAGCTGTGCTTTCTGTATCTATTACCATAATGTAGTCCACGATCTCTGCAGGTTTGTGGTGCGAGAGTACAACTTTGATGTGGAGGAGAAGAAGCAGCAGGAGATTATGAAGCTCAGAGTCCAGAAAAAGGAGCAGTATGTAAGTCACTTTGTTTGACCTCTAGATTTACATCAGAATGGGCTGAGGTGTGTTTTTACAGTTAATTCCTCCTCTGTAGGGAATCTTTGTCCGCTGGCTCAAGGTGAATTTCACTCAGGTGTTCATTGCTTGGATTCACTTGAAAGCATTAAGGGTGTTTGCAGAATCAGTGCTCAGGTGAGTGAAACATTAGGCGTTCTCTTTAATCCCTAAAGAAAGTGTGCTTGCTTGACTTGTAAGGGGGATTTTGTGCACGATGAAATCTTCTGCAGGTATGGATTACCGGTGAACTATCAGGCTTTTTTACTAGAGACTGAGAGAAAACGCTCCAAAAAACTGAAGGAGGAACTCAACTCTCTGTTTGTGCATCTGGACCCCACTGCCACCATGACAGACGTAAGGAGACCAGCAGATCTATCAGTAAATTCCTGTTTTATTGGTACTGGATTAAAAACACAGAACAAAATGAGCAACTTTTCAGGTCAAGAAAATACACCAGCCTTTAAATGACATTGAATACTAAACAATGATACGTGATATGAAACAACATAATACAACAAGTAAAAAACAAACAAAAAGAATTATGAGTTCAGTCAGCTTGACTTAGTTTTTTAAAGTCTAGCCCTTTCATGCATAGCGGTCACTGCTGTGGACAAATATTTAAAAGGTATGCATGAGTTTTTTTATGCTTTCAGTTGAGCAGTGTCAAAATATTTCAAAATACGTTCACATTATAACATGCAGTATTTGGTTTGTAAAACATCTCGAAACGTATGCTGTCCAGCTGACTTGGAAAAGTTCTTGAATAAGTACAACTTTTATAAGACAAAATTTCCACCCTTTTTTAATGCCCCAAGAAAAACACACACACCAAAAAAAAAAAAAAAATCCTGTATGAAAGGGTTAGAAGAAAGACTGGAGATGATGACCTGTGTGGAAATGCTGCAGGGAGTTTGAAAGTCATAGACTCAAATACAGAAAGACACGAGAAAAGACAAACAAGTGTGGATTTTGCAAGGGGATTTTTTTTTTTTGTACCCGAGTACACGGAGTTGCAGCAATGATAGAAGTGTTTTCCACTTTATAAGCCGAGGAGGGGAGCTTCAAAGCTTTTTTCTTTATGAAAGTTAATAGAAATACCACTGTCCTGCACATGCAGCATGCCAAGTAGGGATGATACCTTCTGATTTTTATGGAAAAAACAGAAGCACAGAATGAATTAAAGAAACCTGGTAACATGAAGGGTATTTTTTTTTTTTAGCTTTCTATTTTTCTTTTCAATTATCAACCATGGTAAAGAGTTATAGCTAACTTAATTTGTCCTTGCATTAGTAAAACTATACAGATCCTCTTATGTCTCATTTACTGTAAAGTAAAATTAAAACACTGAATGAGGATTTGAATGCTAAAACATCTTTAAGAACCTTAAAAAAAAGTACAATAATAAACACAAAAAGTGTTCAGAAACAAGGAATTTTTATATTTTTCAGTTCCAAAGAACGAGAAATTTTG